ATAAAGTCCTAAGATGTATTGTTGATGCACCTTGGTTCTACCGAAACGATTATCTTCACAGAGACCTGAAGATGCCAACAATCAAAGAAGAAATAACGAGGTTTGCTGCGAAACATGAGGGTCGACTCCACTCCCACGTCAACGAAGAAGCGCTGCAATTACTGGACAACTCTACACTCAACAGAAGGCTCAAAAGGAAGAAGCCATTTGAGCTAGTGCAGTGAACGTTAATGTTGGTGCTAGTGTAAAACAGTGTAATAAATCTTCACGCCAACTGGTGATGCTTTCCTATAGAAACAATTAAGACAGCCCAATGGGGACTTCTTAGATAAGTAATTAGTTTGTAAGATTTTTAGATTAAAATTGTAGGTTAGTCAGTAATGACTAGTAACAATACTCTAACAAAAAAAAAAAAAAAACAATCCTTTGAGATAATTGGTAACTATTTTTAAGTTTGAGAACATGTTTTTCAACATTTGTTAACACCCGAGAAAACAGAGATATAAGCAGTCATTGATAAAATATAATATTCACGGTGCCAACATTAGTCCGACACTGGATACATTCTATTTCTAGACGCGGGGCGAGGCGACGAAAGGTGAGAAGTAAGAGAAGGGATAGAGAGCAGAATTTTACGGAAAGAAAACATACTTATTTTAGTAAGTGTATTTATGATTTTAAAAATGTAAAACCAAGTTGAAATCTGGTCGACTTCATAGGATTAATATTTATTTTAAAGATAAAGGGTTAAATTCACCCTGTTCAATACTTCATATGATAATTATTTTATGAATTTTATGGGATAATTTTACCCTCTTCAACGGACCCGAAGAAATGTTTACCTATAGCGTATGTTAGTGTATTTATGATTTTTTGCGATCTGATTTCCTTCGTTGGGTAAATATTTTTACTAATTTTAAGGGTTATTTTCAACCGTATATTAATTATTTGTCGATATTAATGTGTAAAATACATATTGACAAGATTATTACAATAGTTGTATGCCGGACGCCACTGTTTTTCCGATCGGGTGTTTTCGGTTATTTTTACTGCTACAAGTTACTGCTAACTTCACACTGGTCGAAAACTCGAGGTCGAAAAAGCATCGATTCCTCCTATACTTTCCATACTGGTTACAGGAAAGTAAAAATATGAAGTCGGTCCTGTAAATATATAGTAATAATGTCAATGCTTCTGCTCGATAAATTCTATAAATAAACAGTTATCTCTTGTGGAATTACACTGGTCGCATTTATTTTTAAATGTTTATCTTGGAAAGATTTATAATTGAATTTGGTACATTTAATATAAAATAAAATTGATGTTTATTACATCACGGAATTTGTTGAAATCTTCCGATGAGCAATTTTTTATGGTATGCCATTGAAAGACTTATATAGGGTTATTTTGTAAAATCTAGTGACATCCAATTAATTTAACATTATGTTGAAGTTATACTAACATAATGTTTAATACGTCATTTTTTCGTATTCTTTATGCTTTCTACTATTTTCTTTTCCATCTCTTTTGTTTTCTTCTCAACGGAAGACATTATTTTCTCCTCAGCAGAAGACATCTTATTTTGAATATTAGCAGAAATTTCATTTCTTATACATAGAAGACATTTCAGAAGACACCTTTTTTTATGAGGAAGAAATATGAGGAGAAACTTTATTTTCCATAGAAGACATTTTACTTTCTAAAAAAGACAGGATTTTTATTGTTAATGTGGATCGGCCTTTGATAAAACCGTATTGTTCTTTTGGCAAGACGTTGTGGCTCTTGAGAAAATCAGACACATAATTGGTTAAGATGGATTCCATTATTTTACAGGCAATCTACAATCGATTGCATTTCTAGGTCTTTTCTTACGTCTATGCTTCTATTTTGTCTCTGTTATTTGTATGGTTCTCAACTTGTTGTTTTTATGTTCGTTCAGCCATGTAGTCCGAGTTCTATGATTCTTTTTTTAGAAAGGGATACCTGAGGAATGGCCCCTTATAAATTTGATCAAGATCTGATAATGGGATCTATTTGAAAATCAGCAAACTTAATATGATGTATTGGCATCTGCACGATTTTGGGATCTTTGTTGTTTTTCATTAATTTAATACACATGATTTTACAGCTGAATTTTTTTTTTAATATCGATTTAAATCAGTGGTCGCCAACCTCTCAATGTGTTGAGCTACTTTGTTAATTTTGGAATAAACACCCACACGGAAGCCACGTAACGCAACGTAAATGAAATAATCCACAGTTAATTTATCATTATATGTATTTATTTTACTATTTAACTGGTAATACATAATACATAGGTACTAATAACAAAATAACTAATATTACTAGTACGTACTTTTTCATAGCTACATTCCTACCTACCAAACGAAGGTGTTTGAAAAATAAACACAAACTTTTATCCAGCCACAACGGCATGTCACGTAAGATTTAAAAATAGTTAATAATAACAACAAAAAAGTAAGCACTATCATGAACATAAACATTGAAAAATAAAAAAGCACGTTCAATGAGAAGGCTGACACTCAGACTCATCGATAATTTTTTTAATGTTTGCAGTATAATTTAATGCAGCCATTCGAATACAATTATCCAAATTTCATCTGTAAGTCGATTGCGATATTTGTTCTTAATAAACTTCATATTGGAAAAAGAAGATTCACACAAATAGGTTGAACTGAATAATGCTTTCATTTTCAAGGCAACACGGCATAGAACTGAATATTTGTATTTACTTACAATAGGCCAGATACATTTGGTACTTGAAACTAACGATTTTAAGGCTAAATCATTTTAAAACTCAATTATTTCCATTTCTGTGGCAGCGATGTCTTCGCCAAAGTTCTGCATAACACAAGTTGCAAACTGTTGGATATCAATTTCCATAAAGGGTGAAACAACAAACTGCGTTACTAAAGCCATTTCGTTGAAATCCTTAAAACGATTTTTGAAGTTATTCTTCAGGGTAGAAACTATTTCTACATGATATTTGCTGTCATAGGGTTCTAATGGATTTTGAGATATTTTTTGAAAGAATAGGAAAATGCTTGGCATCACTGTTAATTAGGTTTTGTTCCCAAAACTCCAGCTTTTTGATAAATGCTTTTATATCAGAAATCATTTCCGCTAGTTCTTTGTCTCTCCCCTGAAGCTGCAAATTAAGTACGTTTAATTTCTCTGTAATGTCCACGAGAAAACAAAAATCTCTAAGCCAGATTGAATTTTCTAGTTCCGGAGTCGGTTCATCGCGTTGTTTGAACAATTGAACTATGCTAGATAGGACATCATTAAAACGTTTCAGTACCCGTCCTCTACTTAACCATCGGACTTTAGAGTAAAGGAGTAGGTCCCCGTATTGACAGTCAACTTCATCGGCCAAGGTTTTGAATAATCTTCTTTGTAACGCTTGAGCTCTAATCTTGTTCACACTTTTTACCACCAGTTTCATAACGTTGTTTAGTTTCAAGAAATTTCCACATAATGCTTCCTGATGGATAATGCAGTGGTAACCATAGCTGGAGCGCCATCGGTTGTCAAGCCTACCATTTTCGATATTGGAATTTTCTCGGAAGAAATAATATTTTTAAATGAGAAAACAACTCCTGTCCAGTAGTGTGTCCTTTCAGTGGAATAAACTTCAAAGGATCTTCTTTAATTGTAAAATCACTAAAAACCATCCTGACGAACACGGCCATCTGGGCAGTGTCAACGACATCTGTTGATTCATCCAGTTGAAGTGAAAAATAAACACAGTTATCTAAGTCAGTTCTTAACTGTAAAAAAATATCATTGCTCATTACTTCTACACGTCTCATCACTGTTTTAGCAGAAAGTTGCATAGATTTTATAGCTGAAACTATCTCGTCTTTATTTCTAAAGTTGGCAAATAACGAATCAGCAGCTTCTAAACACGCCTGTTTTATCATTTCCCCGTCTTCATAAGGTTTCTTTTTTTGTGCAATTATCTGGGACACACGGTACGATGCTTCAGTTGCAGCCTTATTTTTGTCGACTGTTCTTAAAAATATTGATTGTTGTCCAATTAACTGCTTTTTTAACTGTTTCAGTTTCTCCTTTCTGGCGGCAGAATGTAGTGGGAATGATTTTTCAAAATTAGGATGTACAGTTTTATGATGTCTCTTAATATTTCCTTTTTTAGCAACGGAGACCGAAGTATTACATAACAAACACACATTTTTATCTTTAACTTCTGTAAAAAAGTATTGTTCTTCCCATTCCGAATGAAAGTGGTATGTCTTTACCTTCTTACAACTGCTTGCCATAATATTATTTTTTGTTGTTATCTACTAACCCAACCGCTGGACGTTGGTTACGCGTTCAGTTTTAAACTAAGAGCAATGTCGCTGCGCCGTGCCTATTTATCCCGTTCAAAGCAATCCTGATCGTTCTCGAACACTAACGCGCTGGTGCGGCTGGTCGGTTCTAGCCGATTCTAGCTTGATGGCGTCAGCGGCAGATCGCTCACCTCAACGTTGCCGCTGTTTATGTTTAATATTATGACAATTAGATTTTTTTGTGGATGTTTCGGAAGCTTCTATGATTTGTGCAGTTTGTATTTTTTAAATTAAAATCGTTGTGAGAGCTACCAGAATTGCCTCCGCGAGCTACCGGTAACTCGCGATCGACAGGTTGGCGACCACTGATTTAAATACTTTAATAATTTTCGTTTTCAGAGATATTTTTTTACTCATTAATTTATGTTAGGCATTTCATAGAAAATATTTTATATTTTTTTTAACTCTTTTTTTTATCTCTGCTTCTTCGGTGCTTTGCTTCTAATTCTTAACATGTTCTCTATTTTTATCAAGCTTGTGTAGGCTGACCCAGTCCAATATTATTAAATAAAAAAATGCATAAAAAATATATTTATATTTATAGGTACTTACTAACTTTGTAAAAAAATATAAATAATTAATAAATAGTTATATATACAACAGTAAAATCTTAATATTTTTTTTTTATTAATGACCATTATTCACTGCTACCGATTGGTAAACATAGCGCAGAACATTGTCCATATGGTTGTCGTCCACACATTGTGATTTATCAACGATGCATCTAGTTGTAGCGAATTGTCTATAAAATCCAACTGATTTTCGGGGTGTTCTAGTTCTATTTGGCGACTTGAAGTCTACATGGTAAAATCCAAATCTATCGCTGAAAAGAAAAATAAAATTTAATTATGTTTTCTATTTGACGTATATATCCCGTATATGTCAACATTCATACTGATTCAAAAAATTGTACCTTTATTTCCCTTAATAAATTTTTAAAATTCTAAATGTCAAATGTGGATTTTTGTATTTAAAAAGAAAGTAATTATTCAGGTTTGGAAATATCTGCGAAGCAGAAATAATCAGTGAGATGGAAAATTCTACTCCGTAAAATACAAAAAAAAATTTATATCATTCATTTGGAACCAGTAATTTAATGCTTTTTATAAGCAACGAAATTTTGATTTAAAATCGGAACAGACAGTTGAATATCTGGCAAGGATATTGATGGATTGAGGTTTTAATATAAAGAAAAAGCTAAAATATTGTATGTATTTTGAAAAGTTTCATGTTAATTTCAATTCCTTCAATGATTATGTATTTAAAAAAGCCTATGATGCAAATAATAAGAATCTACAAAATAATTGAGCAAACGTATAAAAAGTTATGTGGCATTAACCAAAAATGAAATTATTACACTGGCATTACTATTGGATAAAAATACTCCAATAGGCATTTAAAAACAATTCATATCACTGTAAGGTGCACTATTTTAGAGAAAAATCAAATAATGATCATTTTACTTTTAAGGTGAAGGGGGAGAAAAAGTCCTTTATATCTCACAAGGAAAGTTAATGTTTATTTATTCAATAAAACATTGAGTGCGACCGGTTTCGAAGTATCATCACTTCATCTTCAGGCTCGCCTAGTGGAAAGGAGAATATGTGGTGTAAGGTGTGTTAACTTTGAGCCAACGATATATAAAATAGTAAAAAAGAAAACTCACCATACTCTCCATCCACTAGGGAATACTACAAACAAGTTTCATCAAATGTGGGGGATGAAATAAATTGTAAAATAAACAATGTTACAAGTTATATAAAAGTTAAAAATATTTGAAAAACAAATATTAGTCAGTTTAAATAGTTAAAAATTTAAAATTTTCAAGACTATACAAAACAAAACACATACATTAAACAGATTAAAAGAGAAGGCTTATTTTAAACAATTGTTGTTTTTTAAAAATAATTAGTAGTGTTACTTAACCTAACATTTTTGAAAGGAGACCTGTCAAGTTAAGGCCTCTACAGGTGGTGGTAAGTAATAACAAAAAATTCTTGAATAAACTTATGACAGGGTATAGGTAATAAGATGCAAACTATGAGTGAAGAAATATTTATTATTTATTATATAAGATTTGGGCCATGAACCAATTACCAAGTGTATGTGATGTTGTAGGATAAAAAAGAAAGAAGAAGAAATGACTGGGTTAACTGTTGTGAAGCAACTGAAAAATGAAAGAAGAAAATGACAGAATATGAATATCACATAACCTAATCTTTAAACATGCTCGTTGGTTTTTTTGTGGGAAAAAATTACTTACTGAAATGTACCCCTTGCAAGAAAATATGTGAATAGAAATAAAGGGGGAGGTTAAAAAGGAGTCAAAACGATAAATTTAGATTAGTGTTGAGAAAACTGGAGGAATTAATTTCTGACATTATCTGGGCATTTAAGCAACCAACAGGATTTAATTTTAAATTTCTCAATATCTTGAGGCTTTCGAAGCTATTAAGAGTAAATCTATGGTAGGAACTATGTAGGATTTCGAAACCTTCAGTTGAATCGAAGTCGTGATTTGAGTCTAGTAGGTGGTTGGCAAAATGTGAAAATCCTGACAACGCAAATGTTCTTTTAAACGGATCTTGAAATTTCGAAATGTGCGTCCCACATAGAAAGAATGGCAAGATTTACAAGTTAATTTATAAATTCCAGATAAGTCAAAGGGATCTAATTTATCTTTATTATGAACAAATAACTTATGTAATGAGGAGGGGGTTTTGAATGATACTTTAAAGTGGTCTTTAAGTAAGCTTGCCACTTTATAGGATGCTTTTCCAATAAAGGTAAGAGAAATGTATTTCTTACTGGTGGTTAGTTCATGTACCATATTAGGATTGTTAATATAAACTAAGTTTTGTTGAATTTTATTTTGTTTATGTGTTAGCATTTTATCAATAATATCTAGTTCAAAGTTGTGATCTATAGCAATAGTTTTAATTATATTTAGTTCCTTATTAAAGTTTTCCGTAGACAGAGGAACTTTTAATAGCCTCTCTAAGTAGCAATTAAAGGCAGCCAATTTATGTGTTGCTGGATGGTTAGAGGTATTGTCTATAACTGTGCCTGTATGTGTTGGCTTTCTATAGATGTCAAAGTTGAACTTGTTATTATTGTGTGAGATTTTAAGATCCAAGAAGTTGATAGATTTGTTTATTTCAATTTCTAATGTGAATTTAATATTAGAATGTAAGTCATTAATATAAGTCAAGAAGTCATTTAATGAGTCTAAGTTACCTGACCATAAAATCAAAATATCATCAACATATCTATAATAGAATTTCACATTTGAGTGGAAAAGGTTGTTTTTAAGGATTTTTTCTTTTTCAAAATTGTGCATAAATTTGTCTGCTAATATTGGGCTAAGTGGAGATCCCATGAAAGTCCATTTGTTTGTGAAAAAATTTCATTGTTGAATGAAAAAGTTTTGTTCTAAACAAACCTTGAGAAGGTTCAAAAATTCTACTAGTTCAATATCAGACATATTCGAACTTGACAAATGTGATTCAACAAAACCTAGAACTTCACCTTAAAATTACCTCAACTCACACATGGCTACCCCCCTTGTCGATCATTTTACTGGTCACATTAAATATAATAAAATATTTTCAAAAATATGTTCCTAGAGAATCAACGAAATTATTTGTCCACATCTCAGGATTGGTGGAATCTTTCACTTTTTTCGTACTCTATTTTGATAATTTCTTTTACAATCGGCACCTTCAATGTGCAATTTTATTATTTGGGACGCACCAAGGAGCCTGAACAATTATTTGAAGTGCTTTGGCCTGGAATTTTTCGAGTATATCGATATTTGACTTAGCTGCACTGCCTCACAGTTAGATCCTATAAGTCTAAATTAGCTTATGGATCACCTTTTATATTAACAATAATTTATATTATGTAGACAGTTGAGATATGCGATTATTTAACCAGTATATGTTATGAAATTTGATTCATAGCTGTTTCCTCTTTATGAACAAATGTTTCTTCCAGGTACATACCAATATTTGTTATCTCGTTGAGTTATCTGACGTGTATTTAAGGTAACTGAAAAGGGTACATTTACAGACTGCTTCCCTAATTTGCGAAGTGGCAAAGGTGATACAATACAGAAGAGGTCAGGTAAGCAAAACTATCCACAATAGAAATAATACCCAAACTAGACGACCTATCATTAATAATGCACAAAGAATAGCAAATATGACATACTCAGAGGTGGCTAGTAATAGCAGATCTATACAAACTGAAAACTATCTTCAACGAACCAAATAATGACTATGCTTAATACAATTCTAGATAGAATTACCAGATTAAAGGAGCCCATCTTCCCCCAAACGTCTAGACATCCTTAATGGAATGTAAAGACTTAAACATTATAACATGGAATGCCAATGGACTCCTTGACCATCGATAAGAGCTACAGGTGATCCTAATAGAACAAAATATAGATATATGCTTAATATCAGAAACGCATTTAAGAAAACAAAGCTATATACAATTTAAAGGATACAAAGTCTATAGTACTAAACATGCCTCGGATACCGCTAGAAGTCGAAGCGCCGTAATAATAAAAGAAAATATTAACCATTATGACGAGAATAAAATAGGAATTTGAAAAAAGAAAATTACAGAGAACTCTTACGACAAATGAGAGAAAATTTTAATGCCAAAAATATCACCAAAAGTAGGAAACTGCATACAGCTGCAAGTAAAATACTGACTACTCTAAATACTAAAACTCTCTGTAGAAAACGACTAGGAAGCTTAAACGTCCAATAGTCCATATGCCACCAATAAAAGAAGACAACGGAAACTGGGCAAGATCAAATAAACAAAAAGCTGACATCTCTGTAGATCATCTCGAAAACATTTTTCAACCAAATGAAGAACGAAGACTCGATTTATTAAACCAAGAGAACACAAACATAGTAGAAATTCCTAGGGTAACTCCTAAAGAGGTAGCTAAGGAAATCAAAGAAATTATCAATTTTAAGGAAGTACCTGGGTGTGATCTGATTACAGGTTAAATACTAAAACAATTCCCAAGAAAAGCTGTGGTTAAACTTACTAATACAATAGACGCTGTATTTCGACTAGAGCATTTACCTAGCATCTGGAAAGTCGCTGAAATTATAATGTTACCCAAACCACCAAATGAAGTAAAGTCCTATAGACCTATATCCCTGTTACCAGTGTTATCTAAACTTTTCGAAAAACCTTTATTAAAGTTTTACTAAAAAGATTGAAACCAATGATAGACAGTAGAAATATAATACCTGACCTTCAATTTGGAATTAGGAACAAGCAGTCCACTATTGATAAATCAGCAAATGTTGCAATTGTGGCAATATGAGTTATAGGTAAGTTAGCTATGAAGATTAAGTATAAGAAAAGGTCACGTACACTGCCCTGTTGAACACTGACATTTTTTAGATATAAATATGATTGTTCCTTTAAATGTTTAACAAGGAAGGTTCGATGGGATTTAAGGATACCGAAAAAGTTGTAGGCATTTTCTTAGTTTGTAAAGTAGGCCCGTGTGCTAGACTGGTGTGCTAATCAAATCCTGGCTGACATCTAGAAATATTTTTTTTAGATCCTTGAAAATTATCTTTTTAACTTTGAGTATTTCCTCGATGGTTACGTGTCCACCTCTGAATCCAAATTGATGATTTGGAATTTTGGAATCATTCGATTATGTTCCAAAATTGATTCCAGTATTTGTTTTAATAAGGTTTCGAGAAGCAAAATAATTTGAGCTACTTTCCACTGTGTAGGAAAATAACTAGTTCTTAAAATATAATATATAGATCTTAGGAG